TATAATATTTTTTGGAATATCTTTTCAAAAATGACTAGTACATTAAACATTACTTATTCGCCAGTGTCAAGCCATACATTGATTGCATTATGTATTGTGGTTCTTGCTACTGTGATGGTGCTGATTTGCATTGCCTTTGGCAATCATTGTGTGACCAAATATATACTTCTTGCAGGTTAAAATTGTATCCTATATAGAGCTTTAGGTTTTACAGCCTGTGCTAAATGAATCCATCAAAAACATGTTACAGGTGCCCTTGTACAGATGCCCTAAGAATCCATCTATATCCGGAAATCAATTCCCGCTGTGTATGGATTGTGGAAAAAATGACATATGATTAGGCATACAGGAGGTACTGTAGCAGGCATAAGGGAGGTTTTACGCAATCAAGAGGGAAAAGGTTAGGAGAAGACATATGACTGGCAATATACTCGTGAAGATGCAGTTGCCTTTTCCACTTCAGTAGTAGGTGGGTGCAAAAAAGGGCAGGACCTGTAACCTTTGCTGCCAATGTAGTACACAGCTCATGATGGAGGGGATTAAGCTTTGGCACTTTCACTAAATCTGTCCATACACTGTAAGATTTCTCTCTTTCAGCCCTTTAGGGATTAAACAGCATAAATGGAGAGAAAACCCTGCCAGCTATTATTTTTTTGACAGCCGGCACCTGCAGCTGTACAAAAACCCAAACAGTGGCTGCATATGTGGCTGCATATGTTTGGATGCAATAACTGTTCAACTCACATTTTTCTGCCCAGCTACTTGGATTCTCATATTAAAGAATGATAGACTGGAGGGTGTATGGACAGGGCCACCCACTTCTCAAGATTCATCCATTCGTGTATGGCCAGCTTTAAGGACCTTGTCCCAGTACTGGTGAAATGTTACAGAAACTCAGCTTAGATTTTACCCAAGCATGTGTTAAATAAGGAATTTTTTCACAATATTTGTCTACTTACATCAGTCGTTCACATAGTAGAGGTACTTACATGCCCAAAAGGATCCAGATGGTTGTTAGTGAGCTTTAGCTTTTGGAAAGAAACCAGTTGCCGCATCCAATGTGCCCCAGTGGCAGGAGAGTCTGGGTGAACATACAAACGCCCAGGCATTGCTGGCTCAGCCTTACCAGTTACCGACCTACGGTATGAAAAGAAAGCATGAAATCCAATGAAATATGATTGCTTTTTCTCCATCCAAAGATAGACAAGGAACTTTTGATAAGTATACATAGTCTATAGCAGAAGTGTGAATGCAGGGATTGGAAAATGCTGCATTCTTAATTCCTTAAAACCAACTCCAACTAAATCTTTTTCATTTGTTTTGGATAGAACAGCAAAGGGTTAGATCCTCTCCAACGAGAGTAAAGACAAAAACCAAAACACATATTTAGTAAAGTGGGAAAAGGTTAGATCCTTTTGACCATGTTTATTCATGGCTGTTCCTTCTTGCCTTGGTGACAACTGCTCCCTTATTTTTTTCTGGTGTCTCAGCAACGGAAAGTGAGAAAATACTCCCCAATGTCAGAGACAGAAATAAAAACCTGGCAAAAGCATACAATAGTTCTTTCTTACTCTATCCAAAAAAAAAACCAAAAACAAATTTGACTTCAGTTGGGCTTCAGAGCAGGGGTAAGCATCCTTGGCACTCCACATGTGGTGAAAAACTACAAATTCTATCATACCCCTGCATCTGGGAGGCATGTCTGTGGAAAACCCTGCCCAGTCACTTCAGTGTATGTAATATGTTTTCCCAAATTCTCTTGCTAGGCTTTAATTGGAATGGATGCATGTTGACCATTCACCATAAGGGATGTGCCACATCCTGAAGGTGCCTGATAGTGGCAGAATTGTGCCTGTACATCCACGTGTGCAGTGGCCAGGCCAATGCTGGCTGAAGAAATGATGACCACTGTCTGATAGCACTAGGGCTGACACCTTTTGGTCCAAAGAAAACCAAACAGGGACCATATTGCAGAGGGATTTAATAAAAGTAAGCATAGCTTTACAGGTGTGGTCACATGTTATCATAGAGCCAGAGTTTCATTAACAACTATGATAATCAAAATTAAGTTTTTTTATCTCTAATCCAATGTAGTCTAACTCCACAGTCTCCTTAAGGAAAAGTGCAAATGTTATTGTAATTTGTTAGATCGGAAATTTACTTTGAAATTAAATTAAGGCTTTAACCTCCCTGGCGGTATGATTATTTCAGATTTTTGGTGCTGAAAGCGGTACAATTTTTTTGCATGGAAATATGTAGTTTTTTTTTTATTGTAGGCCTGGAATTTTTAGGAATAACTCACTGAAATCTGTCCGAACAAGAGTCTAGTAAACATCCCGGGTATGAAAAAATTTGAAACACAAAATCATAAATTATAATTTAATAAATAATCATAAAAAATAATAATATAATAATAAATTTAATTCAATAATATAATCAAACCAAAAACACTGAAATTTGAAATATACCGCCAAGTTCGCACATCACTGAGCAAAGTCGCAAAATTGTTTTCAGTGTCTGATGAAGAATTTCCCCACGAATCATAATCACTCAATTCTGCAAGTGGTTCTGATTTACTATCGCTGTTTTCTAGCTGGTCTAAAACAGCTTTTGACCTAAAGGGACACTTTTTGGACGCCATGGACGTTTCTCAGTTTCCAGGCAGAAAGAACAGTAAAAATGCAGGCAGGGCACAGGACAAAGCACTAGGGACAAAATGTATGTGAAATGCTTTGATACAGTAATGTTTTACTATGTGATTTTAGTGATTTTAGTGAATGTCACTTTTTGTCATTTTTGAATTTCCCGCCGTTCCGTCCCCCGTACATCCCGACGCTCACAGGGGACGGAACCCAGAAGACAGATGCCGGCATCCGCTGGATTACATTTCCGGGGACACTGCAGGAGGGACATCGCGGGAGCGCAGGACAAGGTAAGTGATCGAGGGATCGTGGAGCAGCGCCGCATAGTATTCCAGAGCGTAGCTCAGGGTTACCGCTTGTGGTACTGAAACTTTACCCCGAGCTACACTCAGGAATACCGCCAGGGAGGTTAAAAAAAAAACATGCAAATTGTTTTTGTTAAAGAGGAACTTTACTTTCTCAGTCAACATTAACTATTTTTATTCAATATACTGCTAGCATTATTAAATAGATAAGAAGGTATATTATATTTACTTGTTTTAAATTTTTTTTGCATTACTTCAGTTGTTTCCTGTTTTTTGGCCTAGGCAAATGATGTCATACATCTCAGGACATTTTTTTCTTTCATCAGGAGGAGGGACTCTCTCCAAAAAGCTCACCCTCCTGCCTGTATGCCTGAGCAAAGCACAGATGGATTCCAGGAAGTAAATGCTACATGAATCATCCGCCCTTACTCAAAATGGCCAAGACTAGAAATGCTAGAGGGAAGGGCAACTTTGGAAGGGTTTTTTCAACAAAATAAAGCATGGAGACGTGAATGGATGGGTGACTTTGCTGTTAATATTAAAAGTGAATTAAATAGCGGTTTCAGTTTTTGATGCTGAGATAAGTTGCAATTTTATGTGTGCCACAAAAATCAACGAACAAAGGGAATAGAAATTAAAAATATTATATAGAAATAGAAAAATAAATAAACCTGCAAAGTAAATTAGCTAAGGGAGAAACTCAAGAAGAACTAATTAGGGTTAACAAAGTTTAACTTACTTAAAGTCAGCCGGTTCAGCAGCAACCAGGCTTTTTTGGTATGTGATTACTCCACTCTTCAACAGAAGTCATTCTAACACCCAGCTTTTGTTAAACAGTCATGCTGGAAAACCATAATTCGGTCAATGCTTGCAGCCAATGGCTGCAGCACTGATCTGTGTACTGTATTCTGGAAGGGGGGAGCCCCCGCTGTTAGAATACAATAGTGCAGCAGGGAAGATCCCTACATTCGCATTGCTTGTGTGGATGCGGGGAACAATCAGTTTTTTTTTTCATTCAACCCACTGGTCTTTAACATGTTAATGTTTCCATAAGATTTTGATGATTCAGTTTAACTGAGCAGATTACAACCTGTAACATCGCCAGACAAGAACTAGCAGCAGCCTACATCCGAAAAATGTAATACATTGCATTGAATAAAACACAACCACAAAACACATTAGAGTCAACAAATATGAGACATCCCACCTAAGTGTTATATAATGAATTTGTCAGCATCATGTGCAGAATTCTATATACTATTGTTATACTATTTAACAAACCAACCCCTATATCCCCATTGTATAGCTGTTGTATTTATTTAGAACTGTTTGCTAGTGTGCCCGTTAAAAAAGAAATAATAATAATAATATACTCTTCACAGGCATGTTTGTTTATGAAGCATGCTTTTTTCCACTAGTACCCATATAGTTCTTGCATTCGTCAGAAAAAAATATTCTATAGAACTGTTATATAAATGGAAGTGTGGGTTCTATTAAAGTACATGTGAACCCTTACCTTGTAAAACAACCCATTCAGTTTAAAATAGAAAAGAAAGGCAAAACATTATAAATAAATGTTTTTCCTTTCTTATAAGTGATCACATACCCTCTGTGCTCAGCTGCATAAGGAGCTCCGCGAACTTGGGAAGGAGAAACAGCAGCACACTGATCTTCCCAGCGATGGCTATGCAGGGAAGGGGGTCAGCACAAGTCTAGTCATTTGAGGAGAGCAGACTGAGTTTCCAACACAGCTAGGGAAATGACCATGCTGTGCTCTCCTGTCTAGTGTAGTAATTGTTTAATAGGAATGCAAAGGGACTGACAGGAACACCAGAAATTTCACAGAGATGAAGCAATACAAACAGAACAGGATACTTCTTCATACAAGTACATGATGAAGCAGGCACATATCAAGAATATGAAATTTTGGGTTTCCATATTCTTTTAGGCTAGTCATACATTATACAATTCTCTAGTACAATTTACCTTTAGATTTACCAAAACCATATAATATGAGGTCAAACCTAAACACTTTCAGTTTGTATGCAATCAGATAGGCCCTTGCCAGGGACGTATTTACCGCAAGGCAAACAAGTTGTTTGCCTACGCCGGCATTTTTCAGGGTTTCTATTGAACCAGCAGATACCACCCAATATTCGGCAGGTGTGAACTTAGCTTAAGTCAAGTATTTAGGGAAACAGGCAAGTACCTTTTACCACATAGTTGGTTTGAGATCAATTATAGGTTTTTTTATATATAAAATTACAAAATGTAGAAAAACACTGATATTAGACTTACATAATTAACCACTTCACAAGCGTGCTATAGCCAAATGACGACTACAGCGTGGTTGTCCAGTTCTGGGAGGGCGTCCTCCCAGAACGCGCCCTCCCGCACGCCCCCAGCGGCGCGCACCCAGTGCTGTCTGTGATCACAGACACAGCTGACCACATGATGAGGTAAAAGGCCAATCACAGCAGCCTTTTACCACGTGATCAGCTGTGTCCAATGACACAGCAGATCACGGAGTAAATACAGTTGCCGGTTTTTGGCTGCACTTTGACAGCGTGAGGAAAGTACTGCCGATAACCTGCAAATGTCTCAGAGGACATCTACACTAATCATCATTTATTTATTTAAAAAAAAACATGCTGTTAATATCACTTTAAAACACAACTTCCTTTGTTGAATAGTACTCATAGGAAAAAATATTACATATAAGTGCCAAATAGAGAAAACAGCCATTAAATTATGATAGCTGAGATAAGAATTGGCAGGATTATTGCTCAGGTTATCTCATAAGTTTGCTATATTTACTTATTTGCGCTTGTCACCATTAATTGTCTTGTTATTAAGTTGAGTGTAGCTCCCAGAAAGTGAAATTTTGGGTCCGGAACTTACTGGTTGCAGAGAACAATTACAAACAGAAGCATTTCACAGTCAAAAGTTTATACAGAATGTGTTCCTCTGCTTCTAAGCCAAAAACACACATTTAAAACTGTGGCTTGTGTTAGGTACGCCCATTCCTAAATAGAACAAGATGTGATATACAGTAAAACTAGCTTGAGCATTACAAAGCCTTTCAAGCAGTACCTCTAAATCCAACTCCCGTAAGATGTCATTACATTCTTCTCCATGCAAATGAAACTAAACTTAATGAATCTCCAAATCCTAAGACACCTTGTTATCTAGGAGTATTTAACAGGAAAGCTGTTCTCTTTGAGGATTTCACACTAGGCTTAATAGAGTTATCATTTTCTGCTCATCAAGGCAATATGTCAGAACTAAATAAAAGGAACGTTATTTGATTTATTGCAAAGCTAAAAAAATTTGCACATACAGCCCATAGCAGGGGCGGACTGACCATTCGAGCACTCAGGCACTGCCTGAGGGGCCCGGGGTCAGTAGGGGGCCCCATGAAATGCCCTTGGTACCTTTTTTATAGGCTTTTTGGGGTATTCTTTGAGTGTGGGCAATGACACAGGGGCCCCATGATCCCCTATTGCCTGGGGGCCCCATGAGTTGTCAGTCCGCCCCTGGCCCATAGGCATTAAAAACAGCAACAGGGCTTTGGCTCAACTCTATATGGCCACAACCAGGGGCGGACTGACCATTTGGAAACTCGGGCACTGCCCGAGGGCCCGAGGTCAGTAGGGGGCCCCATGAGATGCCCCTGGTACCTTTTTCATAGGCTTTTTTGAGTTTGGGCAAGGACACAGGGGCCCCATGATCCCCTATTGCCCGGGGGCAACATGAGTTGTCAGTCCGCCCCTGGCCCCAACACACAAGAAAGGACAAATTATAAGTCGATCTTTCAAAACATTTATTGAAAATCATAAAGTTTTTTGAATATTGTATCTAAATTTTTTTATAATGGAGTATTTTTCATAAGTGTATCAGGTGATAGCATTTTCGAGAAGCAAATATGTTTCCTGTGGAAGCAGGTTTATTTGGGTTACACTTGGTATGTCTTCACTGATTGATAGTGGTCTCCTAATAAGTAGCAGGTGGTGGTTGTTCTGCCTTGAAGGTATGGTTAGTCCTATATACTGATAGGAAATTTCACTAGAGATCACGCCATTGTTACAAGCTAACCAGCATGAAATGAGCTAGGGTGTTGAGCAGCATAGTGTTAAGCATTTTCAATATATTTCACTGAGCCTCAATACAAGTTTTATGCAACAGAGAGTGATGACGTTTTAGGCCTCATGCACCCATAAGCTGAGAAATAATGCTTTTACAGGAGTTTGAGCTTTCTTTTTTCTATGCCTCTAAACGCACTTCTATGTTAGCCACTGGGGTTGATTTGCTAAAACTGAAGAGTGCAAAATCTGGTGCAGCTTCGAGGTTTATTTGGCAACGATTAATTGAACAAGCTGGTTAGAAGCTGATTGGCAACCATGCAGAGCTGTAACAGATTTGGCACGCTCTAGTTTTAGTAAATCAACCGCTATGTGACCATGCGCAAGTAGGCATTTACAGGAGTTTAGAGACAAGGGCATTTTGAGGCAGAAAAAAGACATCATTCAAGAGAAGAGCGTTTGGCAGAAAAAATGCCTGATGCGCATAAACACATGTAAAAACGTCTAAATGAGTGGTAACGCTAGGCACGTTTAGCGCTTGAACATTCTGTCATTTTAATGGCAAGAATAAATTAATATTCTGTCCAATGAAATAAATAAATGCAAAAGCACTTGATGGCAGCACAGTGGCTAAATGGCTTTCACTTCCACCTGGCAGTACTCGGGTCGTTGGTTCAAATCCCATCGTACGGCACCACCTGCCTGGAGTTTGCATGTTCTCCCTGTGCCTTCGTCGGTTTCCTCCAGGTACTCCGGTTTCCTCCCACACTCCAAAGACATGCTGGTAGATTGATTGGCTCTGTCTAAATTGGCCCTAGTATGTGTATGATGAATGAATGTAAGTTAGGGAGCTTAGATTGTACACCTCTTGAGGGTTAAGGACTGACGTAAATGTACTATATATATATGTAAAGCGCTACGTAAATTGAAGGTGCTAATTAAGTACCTGAAATAAATAAAAAAAATGTACCTAAATGTGTTTTGAAAAAATGCTGCTTAGGTCCATTTTTGAAGCTGCTTTTCTCCTGCAAAGAAAAAAATATTTAGTTGAGCCCCAGTGTGCATGAAGCCTTAGAGTGTTGTGGACTTTAAGGTGACGAGCCAGATGTGCATCCAGAAGTTTCATCACATGCAAGAGGCTGCTAATTTTTAATAACGCCAAGTAAAATTATATATTTTTTTAATGTTGATAACCTTGCTAGAGATTCAAACAGCAGATAACAAAACAGAAGCAGGGGGAAGTTGTGTGAAGAATGTAACGTGGTCTTACAGCGGATATAAAAAGTCTACACACCCCTGTTAAAATGTCAGGTTTCTGAGATGTAAAAAAATGAGACAAAGATAAATAATTTCACAACGTTTTCCACCTTTAATGTGAACTATGTATAAACTGTACAACTCAATTGAAAAACAAACTGAAATATTTTAGGAGGGGGAAGTAAACATAACAAACTAAAATAATGTGGTTGCATAAGTGTGCACACCCTCTTATAACTGGGGATGTAGCTGTGTTCAAAATTAGGCAATCACATTCAAAATCATATTACAGAGGAGTCGGTACACACCTGCTATCATTCAAAGTGCCTCTCATTAACCCCAAATAAAGTTTAGCTGTTCTAGTAGGTCTTTCCTGACATTTTCTTAGTCGCATCCTACAGCAAAAGCCATGGTTCGCAGAGAGCTTCCAAAGCATCAGAGGGATCTCATTGTTAAAAAGTATCAGGCAGGAAAAGTGTACAAAAGAATTTCCATGGCATTAGATTTACCATGGAACACAGTGAAGAGAGTCATCATCAAGTGGAGAAAATATGGCGCAACGGTGACATTACCAAGAACTGGACGTCCCTCCAAAATTGATAAAAATACGAGAAGAAAACTGGTCTGGGAGGCTGCCAAGAGGCCTACAGCAACATTAAAGGAGCTGCAGGAATATCTGGCAAGTGCATGTGACAACAATCTCCCGTATTCTTCATATGTCTGGGCTATGGGGTAGAGTGGCAAGATGGAAGCCTTTTCTTACAAAGAAAAACATCCAAGCCCGGCTAAATCTTTCAAAAACACATCTGAAGTCTACCAAAAGCATGTGAAAAAATGTATTATGGTCTGAGGAAACCAAGGTTGAACTTTTTGGCCATAATTAAAAAAGATATATTTGGCGCAAACACAAACACTGCACATCACCAAAAGAACACCATACCCACAGTGAAGCATGGTAGTGGCAGCATCATGCTTTGGAGCTGTTTTTCTTCAGCTTGAACTGGGGCCTTAGTCAAGGTAGAGGGAATTATGAACAGTTCCAAATACCAGTCAATATCGGCACAGAACCTTCAAGCTTCTGCTTGAAAGCTGAACATGAAGAGGAACTTCATTTTCCAGCATGACAATGACCCAAAGCATACATCCAAATCAGGGAATGGCTTCACCAGAAGAAGATTAAAGTTTTGGAATGGCCCAGCCAGCCCAGGCCTGAATCAGATCAAAAATCTGTGGGGTGATCTGAAGAGTTATATCCACTGTATATATAGGAAGCAATGGTTGGGCCCTCCCTTGGGCTCAGGGGAAATAGTTTTTTGCTCACCTCATATATTTATGGTATGTTCACAGCATTTCCTGTATATTCAACAAAATCCACATATTTTGCCAATGAATCATCTGGCCTGAACTGAAGCTGTGCTATCTTCAGAGAAATTGGCATGTTACAAAAACATGGCTGGAAGCTGGGCAATGCCTAAAATGGCATTTCTCCATTTCCATCCCTCTGTTTATATAAACATCAACATAATTACCTATTTCCTTAATATTTTAACATGTACTTCTTTGTCATTACAAAGTGTTATATACATTAGTTTGTTGCGTAACGTACTGTATGTAATACGGTAGCAGCAAACATTGCTCTTCATTTTTACATTTCTCTGACATATGGAGGATTTAGCCAAAGAGATTTTAAATGTACTTCATTCAGGATTAGTTCTACATTTTTAATTCAGATGAATTTTGGCCTAGTGTCTAAATAGCTTTTAAAGT